ACCCACATACTAGAACCAGTCTGAGTCAAAATTAGTCATGACATGACACTATCTTTGTTTGCCTCTCTCCAGACAAAGCAGCAGAAAGATGTCAATGACTGCAGAAAAGTATCCCCCCAACAAGCCGTAATAGCATTGTTTGGACTGACCAGACAATGCCATATTTCCCAAACAACCTGAGGAGAAGGCAGAGGCAAAGTTCTTTGGACTGATATTTAGTAAAAGTCAAATCTGATGAGCTTCAACCAGCTCTAATAATGAAAAAAAGACAGAAACACAACCAAAAAAAAAAAGAAAGAGAGACCCCCCCCCCCCCCCCCCCCCCTCCCCTCACAATTTCAGATTTTTGAAGTTTTATGGAAAGGGGAACTCTCCTTCCAAACAATAACATCTTCTCCCTTCTCCTCCTCCCTTCTCAGACCTATCATAGTAGGCACTCAACTCTTCTCAGGAAGGCAAAGTGAGCGGAATTTTCATTATTTCATCTAAATTCTTTTGTATTTATGCATTTTAATATAAGGCAGTAAATAAATTATTTCATCCTATGAGAATTCTGATATACCTGCCAAAACAGCTCTCACATGGACACCAGAGGGAAAGAGAAAACAGGGGCGCCCAAAAACAACATGGAGACGAACGATGGAAAGTGACCTGAGTGTGGCATCTTTGACATGGAAAACTGCACTGAAGATGTGCCACTAGGCAGAGAACTGAGGATGAGATGATAAGCATGGAATATGCCCTCTCTGAAAGCTGTTTGGTATCCGAAGATCAGGAAACATAACGAGGACCCCACTGTAGTTACAAAAAATACTGTATGAAAATCAAAAGGAAATGTGCCAACTAACTTTATACATATACGACAAAACATATAATGGCATCTGTAACTGTCAGCTTACAGAAATTGTGATATTTCAGCCTGTTATGTCCTCAACTGGGTCTTCAAGACTGCTACATATTCCCTTTAGTCAAACTGATAGTATGCAATATTTTGCTATGAGTTAGATGCTTTAATTTCTACTGCTTCTTATAAGCCTCTTGGCTTCATCATATGTTATGTCTATACGAGCAACAGTAGTCTTCTGTGTTCCTTTGCAGATTTGTGTCATATTTATTTCCAGATATGCTGCAAACGGATGAGATCCACTGTATTACCGACATGATACAGAGGGATGGGATTCACTCTATTACCTACATCCTACAAAGCGATGGGATTCGCTGTATTACCTACATGCTACAAAGAGATGGGATTCGCTGTATTACCGACATGCTACAAAGAGATGGGATTCGCTCTATTACATACATGCTACAAAGAGATGGGATTCGCTCTATTACATACATGCTACAAAGCGATGGGATTCGCTGTATTACCTACATGCTACAAAGAGATGGGATTCGCTCTATTACCTACATGCTACAAAGAGATGGGATTCGCTCTATTACATACATGCTACAAAGGGATGGGATTCGCTGTATTACAAACAAAGCAAAACAATTATAATTAAAACATAACAGCATGGCAAAAAATCTTCATAAGTTACATACAAGCAGGAAAGTTTGCAGAATACTTTAAAGGCAACAATTTTAAAACCCAGTTCACATTACCAATAGTAATCAAACATTTTATAACATTAGTGGTAGCCAAGTTTTGTTTTTGTTCACAGAAAATTAGTATCCAAACAACTTCCCCCCCAATAAGCACGTCCAAAAAGTGACCAATGAAGCTAGAATGGATCTGCCTGAGGCGCAAGGAACCAAGTCTGCATACAAATAAGCCAGACCTATAAAACTGATAGGAGCAAATCTCAAGTTATGGAACAAAACTAAAGGCCAGAAGTGGACAAACAACCATACATTTCTGCCGGAGTTTATTGCCAGTGAATGTTAAAAAGATAAGAGGAGCAGATAGTGATGTAAGGGATAGGAACGGCTGCTGGTTGGTGAGGTAGAACACTGGGTTCTCATACAAGAGACCCAGGATTGATCCTAGATAAAGAATAGAGTGATTTTTTTCCTGTCAGAGCAGCAAAAATAAAGAATACACAAACAACATAACCTACATAGTTTTTGACTGCAGTTGCCATGCTGCCTTACATCCTCAGCTACACTCCCCCCCCCCCCTCCTCTTTTTTCCCCTTTCTTTTCCTATAGTGCACTAAACTAAAAGTGCTAAATACAGGCAGTACAGACAGTTGTGAGGGGTGAGGTTTCCAAACTCATGCCAACTCTCCTTAGAAACTTCTTATGATATGCCAGGCATATTGCCATTATAGAGTTACATATTCTTCCTTTATTGGCCACAAGGACTTACAAAATCAGGTGAGCAATGAGTCTAGTTTTTATACCATCATCCTGCAAAGGGCCAATACAATGTTCACCCAGAATTAAAGTTCATATTTTTGTGAGAGACCTCAATTTACAGATATCTTTTCTTCTTTTTTCCCCAGCTGTAAGTTCCTGGTTGTTCATCCATTCAGAATTTGGCTTTGTGTCAGGGCCTGAGTTTACATCTGTTTTACTGGCTTATTAGCATGAAGATCATTGTTCCTTGTCATTTCAACAAAAGCCCCCAATAAGTCAAAAAATTTAGAAATGCTTGAACTAATCTGATGGAGGGAAATGATCCACTGCAGAAATATAATTAGATTCATTTCTGAAATAATACTCTTTGCCTGTGTCTCCACTTTGTTGTCGTAGCATAAGTCGATTGGTAAAATTTTAACTTTGTGCTGTATAACTCTTAAAAAGCATTCTAGCAAGGATCACTGTATATTTAAATACCTCAAATAAGCAAAAATGCATTCTAATTATTTGTTATGCGGAAAAAACATGACATAACATTGGGAATGAAGTAAATAATGATATATAATTTTATCCATTTATATTCCACTACAGCTAAAAAAATAAATTTTTTTTTGGTTCAAATTGGCACCACGTTGTAAACACACTATACCCGGTGTATCCTACTGTTCAGGGTGGGTACGAATTTAAACATTTAATATTTAGTTTACCTTGTGACTAAATATGTCTCTAATATACTTATCTTTTAACTGGTCAAATTATACTACTTTTACAGTGGTGTAAGGGGAGGGGGGAGGGCATATGATGACTTCAGTTTTAAATAAAATGCCCCATTTCCAGTTGAACATGTCTTAATCTGTCCTGGCTACTGGATCAGACAATTCACCAGCTTGCAACTGAAAATAAATCAGCCATGCTTCTCTTTGTCAGCTTTACCAAAAATCACACCAAACAGCCACCAAAACACTGAGACTGGGATGTAGGCCAGCCGAAATATTAAGCGCATAGAAAACTGTGAGCATGCCCATAAGAGTCTTGTACATCCAGAGCATATCTCCAAGACCATTTCAGGTGCACCAACCCTGGATAACAAACAAAAGTTGAACAGATCTAACTAATGAATAGTTAGTAATTATTCACTTCTGTGATAAATTAGTATCCAGTTAACTCCCATCTTTCTGTTATATCGGGCAACAAACTCGCCAGGACACTCAAAACCTATTAAAAGTGAGAGGACTGACTTCACTGTCTCCCATAAGGCTCAGTCTATCTCCATCCTGTAATCGTTGGGTCAAGAAGACCATCATACAAGCTTCAACAACAACCAGCACAGATCCCTGAAACTCATTAACCTGCAGTGTTTTAAAGTAATAAGATGTATTTTACACATCTGAATACACATACATCCAAGGCTAAATGAAAAACGATGCTATCACACTAACTGTAGGGAAATAGCCCCTGTCATGTGAAACTTACTAACCTGTGGTGCTTTAAAGCAAGAAGATGTATTTTAAACATCTGAATATTCTTCTTCCTAAGACTAAATTAAAAACAATGCTATCATACTAACTGTGGGGGAAACGCCTCGTGCAACATACACCGAGACAAGAAAAATAATATCGAATGATTTAGACATCTTGTTAAAATGCTTAAAAGCATTTACATGAAATGAGGACTGGCGGATTTCATAGCATCCTGTTTATCTCATATGGCTGGATCTCTCTCCACAGAACAACCTTTCATTTCCTGAAAGCATCACACAAAACATAACATCAATAGTTTCAGCAACAACTCCCAGAGATCTCTGAAACACCTCAAGTCATGAAATAAAGGAACAGAGTCCGCAATAGAACCCACATCTTGAGACAGCAGAATGAATGGCTTCACCATTTCACCACACCTGAACTGCATAAACTGACGCAACAATTTCTTCATGTTTACCACACTTGGCCAAACTTATGTGACTTATATTCTTTCATATTATGCAGCACAAATAACAGCAGATTTAACTTTGCTGTTTTCCCTCAACATTTATTCTTACAGAAACAATGTTTTTTTTATTTTCAGCTGCTGAGTGTCATTTACTAAATTTCTTTAATACTGAAATCCAGTCAGTCAGAAAATGAGTACAGTAATCATTTATTCATTCATTCATATATCCCCTAAGAAAATGGTTATTATTTCAACTAATATTCGCTGCCTTTTCGAAAAAATAGGTTTTAACAAGACTAGCATGTACTTTGCGAGATGTGTACAAAGAAGAATAAGCAGAAAAAAAAGAGGATGAGAAAGAGAAAAAGGAGAATGATGACACAAAAGGAAAGAAAAAGTTTTCAGTCAATAAAGAAAAAAATCAAATATATCACAATAGCTGCTTAGATTCACAATGGTCAACGTTCATAACACTTTTTTATATATTTGAGGTCTCGTAAAGAAAATTTTTATTATAATTTAAACTTTACCAATTCAAAATAAAAAAAGTTTCAATAAAAATAAAAAAAACAGAAAGCTTTCAATCAAGTAAAGAGCAGAGAGCTTTTGACCAATTAGGAGCTTCACTCAATATAAAACTACAGAGCTTTCAACCAATCAATGCTTCCCTACACATGAAATCAGATATAGCAATCAACCAATAAAATGCTATTCTACATATAAAACAAGACAGCTATCAAATCTTGAAGATACTTTCATCAAATCTC